CCACTAAGAACACACCCAGGCAATGGAGCAGTGGACGCTCCCCCCGACCCCCAGCTTCCTGTGGGGTCCTGAGCGTCCCCTTCAGAGTAGAGCTGACGACAAGGTCAGGGCCCCCCTGAGCAGAGCACGTCAGGGCCTGGCATTTTGGATGAGCCCAGTGGAGGCTGCAGCCCCCACCGGGACCCCGCCCCAGCCCCCTACGCGTACAACCTGCAGGCCAGGATGGAGACCCTCTGCACCCCTCCAGCAACGCCAGCCTGGCCTCGCCAGCACCTCAGTCACCACCTGGGTGGGCCTCGGGGCCTGCGGGACCCAGCTTGGCCACCTGTCCCTCCCCAATTACCTGGCCCAGACCTCACCTTCCTCTGTCCCTCAAGCCTCCAGAGCTAAGGCCTGTCCCTGAGCCAAGCGTTCTTTCCCCCAAACCCGGTGCTCTCCCTGGACGGGCAAGATGCTGCTGAAGCAGCGGTTTGGGGCTCCTCAGGCCTCCCCTCCCCTCCCCACCAGGGAGGGGCTCTCAGACAGCAGGTTCAGCCCTCGCTTTACTGAAGGAGAAGCCAGATGGGAAAACCCACCTGCATCCCCTTCCCTGCCGCCCCCTCACATCCAGGACCAGGGCTCCTGCCTGCTGGCTGGGAATCCAGGGACCCCAGACGCCTGGCTCCAGCCCCCTCTCAGGTCTCCCACCCCTGAAGGGAAGAGGAGGGAGGGGGCCCAGCTGCGGAAGAGATGGAAGCTTCCTTGGTCCGAAACGGTCGCACTGTTTTGAAAACCAGAACACCCCACCCCTGGGGGGCCCCCCTGCGCCTGGGAGCTTCAATTGCCCTCCTCCCTCCTGGGAGAACTGCCGCCTGGTCAGGCTGTGACCGTGACCGTGTGGGTCTTGCTGGGACTCAGGCCCTGCCCTCTGCCCCCACCCACAGAAGGGCCCGGAGACCGCGACACCCAGTGGGGAGAGTGCAGCTGCGCGCGAGGTCCTCCCCCTCACTTGGAAAAGGAGAAGCACTGAGGGGCAGGTGGGCGGGCGGGCGGGTGGGCGGCAGGCAGGGAGCCACTCAGAGGGCAGTGTGGTCAGGGCACCTCCAGGGGCAGCAGGGGTGTGTCTGAGTTCTGTGCTGAGACGTTGGCTGACTGGGGCCCGATGAGCCCCTGGCCATACAAATTAAGGATGGAGTCGGCAATGATGCGGGCTGTACGCTTCTGGTACCCGCCCGAGGTCACCATGAGGATGGGCACCTGGTGGCCTCGGACCAGCCGGAACACCAGCTCATCCCGCTTCACGACACCCTAGTGTGGGGGATGGGGAAGGCTGGCTCAGGCAGCCCCAGGTCCTCAGGGTGCTGGGAAGTCCTGCTGCAGGTCTAACCCTGCTCCAGACCGCTGCTGCTTTTGCCCTTCCCCCCTGGCTTCAAGAGAAGCACCACTGCTGCCCACCTTCCCTGCTGCTGCTGTGTCCCCGGACCCTCCCCTGCCCCAGGGTCAGGAGGTACCTGCGGACTGATGGACAGCCCCCCGAGGCGGTCCCCCTCAAGGACGTCAGTGCCCGCGTTGTACACCACCACGTCGGGCTGATGCTCCTGGAGGGCTTTCTCCAGGTTCCTCTCCACCTTCCTCAGGTACTCATCATCCTCCGTGCCCCACTCCAGCTCCACCTTCCGCCTGATGGCCTCTGCGAGGGAGACAGCAATAGCCCCAATGTGCAGAGGTGGGAAACTGAGGCTGGGGAGGGCGAGGACGGCCCATTTCCCCATCTGACTCCCCAGTGCTCGACCTCTTATTCACCCAAAACTACGCTTAAAAAAGAGCACACAGGCGGCAAGAGGGACCCAAAGCAAAGAAGGGGGATCACAGATGAAACACTGCCCTGGGGATTCAGGGACCCATGTCGGGTGTCTGAGCCCACTGTCTCCGTAAGCCCTTGCCTGGATGCATGGACACCCCATGTGCCCTTAGGTCCAAATCCAGAACATCTGACATTCAGTTCAGAAATGGGTGCCTGGGGCGGCAAAGTGGCTGACGTACGCACAGCAGCCCCGCCGGCACTTACTGCATAAATGTCCCTTCCCCACAGGTTGGGCAGGTCCCTGTATTTCCCAAGCTCATCTGAGAGTCTCTACCTTTTAATTAATCCACCTGCATTTACTTAGTAACTATTATATTTGAACTGATTTCTGCCGTCTTATTTTATATTTTCTATTCATGTATTTTTCCTTCTTTTTTCTTTTTTGTCCTTCCCTGTTTTTGACCAGACAGCTGCATACCTAGAAGAAAAGTCTACTTTAGTCTTCTGGCGGTTACCCCAAAAGAAGGACTCACAGTGTTTACTGGGCAGGTTTATGTGGTCTTGGGTGGGTCAAGTGACCTTTTTAGGTCTCCGTTTCCTCGTCAGTCTCCCCCTCACAGGGATGCTGAGGATAAATAAATGAAGGGACCTCTGCAGGTCCCAGCATGTAGGAAATGCCCCAGAGAGAGCCCCATCCAAGCAAGAGGCCCTGGGGCTGTGGGACAGGGCAGCTTACGCTTGGCAAAGCGGTCCCCGGGGTAGATGTGGCGGTTGTAGACGTCCATGATGTACACGCGCTTGTCGCCCATGAAGTCCCGCTCGTGCCCGTTGCCCTGTGGGGAACACACGGAAGCCACTCACAGGCAGGTGCCCCGGGAAAGGCACCCCTAACCACACCCCAGGAAACACCCCACGTGCCTGGGTGCGGGCATGCCTGGGTGCGGGCGGCAGAGGCCCAGCCTGGGGCTTGGCGGATGTTCCTGGGGGAGGGGAGCCCACAGGACGGTGTTGCGCGTCAGAGGCAGCTGGGGAGTGCGGGGAGGTGGCCTGGGGGGGGCGGGCCTGTGGGACCCCAGGCCCCACCAGGCACTCACCTGATGGGCATCGAGATCAACGATGGTGGCTCTGGAGACACCCTCCACTCGCTCAAACAGAAACTGTCCAGGGCGGGAGAGGGGAGAGGTAAGGACCACACAGGCCAGAGGACACAGTCCTGTAGGGGCTCCCAGTTAGCGAGGGAGTGGGCTGAAGCCTGTACATGCTTATGGGAGATCAGGCCACCAGGCAGAGCCCTGGGGAGCTGTGTGGCTCTGGAGAAGCCTGTGTGCGTATTCAGGGAAGGCTCCCTGGAGGGGCACGTGCTGTGCCCTGAAGGGCCAGAGGTGAGGAGGTTAAGAGAGTTGGCCCTCCGCGACAGCTCAGGATTCCCGGGGAAATGCATGGGGTGCAGAGCGGGGAACCCCCCTCAAGGCTGTGCCTGGAACTTCATTCTGGCACCTCCGCCTTCCTACAAGGCCCAGCCCTAAAGCCTCCTCCTCTGAGAAGCCCTCCTTCCCCTCCCCCACCCTCCAAGAAGGTCTCCTTGCGTCCCCCTCTCCAAATGACCAGGGCCTGCTGACTTGTCCCTCCTCCCCATTAGTCCCCGTGCCCCGTGGGGACAGGAGCCACGGGGCCCATGCCGACCCTGAGCATGAGGCCAGGCGTGGGTGCTGAGGCAGCGCTGCGGTCTGACCGACGTGGAGACCACTGCCAGCTCTGCCCCTTCCGGCTGTGCCCTCGCCCCTCTGGGCCCGTTTCCTCGTCTCCTCATCTGTAAAACGTGAGGATGCAGGGGCGAGCCCTGGAGGACGGAGGCGGCCACAGGGCCGGGCCCGCGGTAAATGCCAGCTGTTGTTACCACCATCAGGGTCATTATTTCTATCTCACCCTTCTCATAATTTAATATTGACATGGAAACTGTTCCCCTCCGGTCCCCTGCCACTGTTGAAGGCTGTCACCTCTGGACCATCTCAGGCAACACGAAAAAGCAAGTGTCAGATCTGGGTTTGGGTCCCAGCCCGGCTGAGGGACCCGGGCGAGCTCCCGCCCCTTCTGGGCCTCAGCTGCCTTCTTTACAATGCGGGGTGAGCACACCAGATTGGGGGATTCCAGGGAGGCTCTCGGAGGCGACCCCCCCACATGCTCTCGGGCACACCTTGATGGCGAGCGTGATGTCTGCGTAGGCGCAGAAGCCCCCGCCCCGGTCGCTGGAGCAGTGGTGGAAGCCGCCGCCTGCGAGGACAGCCAAGGTGTTGCCAGGGCCAGGCTCAAGGCCCAGACACCCCCCTCCCACCTTCCTCCCAGGGCCCCCCTCCCCGCTCAGCTCCCAGGGACGGCTACGGGCTCCAGGCTGCCTAAGTCAGCTGACCCCGCGTGGGCACATCACCATCCCTGGGTCAGGAGGCAGCTTTGCCATCGTGGCCACCCCTGTCCACAGTGGCACCAGAGCTGCTGCCCCCAGGACCCAGGCCAGGCCATGGGGCACTCACCTATGTTGATGGCCCAGCCTCGCTCCACAGCCAGCTTCCCCGCCTTTGGAAACAAGCACAGGATGAGGGGTGCAGGCGGCCAATACCTTCACTTACTTATTCATTGAATCACTCACCCCATAAACACCATTTCCAGCCAGCTCCAAGGTGGAGATGAGCTGGGAGGTGGGATACAGGAAGCACCTACCCGCCCCCAGCAAACCCCGAACTGGCTGGCTTATGAGACATGCAGCACGTAAGCCCCTGTGTAATTTGGTGAGGAAACTGGAGGAAATCAAAATTCAGTTCTTAGGATGGAACATGAGCTGACAAGGATTCTCAGGCAGCTTTTAAAGGGAAAATGGACAAATTTTTGTTCCTGGAAATACTGTCGCCTTAATACTGAAATCCTATAGGAAATCATAATTTTGGGGTGGGCAGTAATATTCTAATAAACTTTCAAAATGCACAAATTTGCAAAGCTAAAAATAAAACTATAGGGGTCAACAGGTATTGATCCCTGTCTGGGTTGGATCATTGTGCATTCAAATCATTTCAGCTCCTTTCCCTCCAATCAACTCAGCAGTCTGCGGCGATTTTAGAGAAAACTACACACAGAATGTGAAACCCAGTTTTGCTGCAAGTGTTTGTGACTGTCACACCCACGATGGGGGGGAGGGGCACCATCCATCGCTGATGTCATAGGGGTTTGTTTCCATCTGAAATTTGAGTAGCTCTGAGTCACAGTTTTAGGACACACTCTCCGGGGGGGGGTGAGGATACATCTTATACACCAGCAAATACGGTAACTCTAACAGGTGGTCTTGGGGGAAGAACGGTGAATTCCAATGTCCCAGCCAGACAGGAGAGGCTTTGGAAGAAAGAGTTCTTGTTGCCGCCTTGAGGAATATTTAGGATTTTGCTCAACTACTCAGCAGCACGAGGCATTCTAGAAGGAGAGCCCAGGGTGGGCAAAGACACAGGGTGGGAAGGAGCCTGGGGTGGAGGGCCCAGCCCAGCTGCTGCTCCCCCCCCCCACACCAGCTCTCCACCTACCATTATGGTTCCTCCCGTCTGGGTCCGGAGGGGCTTCAGCACCTTCCTCTGTACCAGGAAGTTGGGCAGGAAGATGACAGGAGGGATTTCTGTGATGGTTGCGACAGCAAAGGACCACTGTGGAAAGAGATGCGGGCCATTGGCCTCCCTCTGCCCGGTGAGCCCAGAGGCAGCAGCGGGGAAGCAGATTTCCCCTGGGCCAGCTTCGGGGTGGTGGTGGGGACTCCGGGCGAGCGCAGCTCCTTGGGTGAGAAACGGGAGCTCCCACCGTGGCTGAGCTTTGGGCTCAGTACAGAGATGCTCACAACCGCACTCTCCTTAAAGCTAAGTCAGCCCTCGGTCCTCGTGCTCCAAGGCCCTCGGCTGCCCTCTTGTGCCCAGAAGGAGAGCTGCAGGGGACTCCAGGTCAGCACGGAGCCCACCCAGAACTGGCCCAGCCCGCCCACTGCACAGAGGGGCACCGAGGCCCCGGAGAGGCGGGGGGCTGGGGGGAAGGATCTTTCCTTCCAAGGTCACAGGGAGTCACTGACGGAGCCAGGACTGGACGCCCAGCGCTCCTGCTCTCCAGGCACAGCACAGCCTCTCCATCCACCGGGAATCAGTCATCCCTTCAAATGGGGCTGGATGTCCTCATCCTCCACTGCTGAGGCAGGAGGGTCTGGGGCACGAAGAAGGCGCCTGCACCAAGATAAGGACACAGGCCTTCCCTATAACCTCCCGAGCCCTGGGCAAGCATCCATGCACCCCACTCCTAGACCATCTCCTGCCTGCCTGGGAACGCCCGAGGTCCAGACCCTGCTCTCCACTGACCCCAAGCAGAGCCCTGGAGGGGCTGCAGCACTTGGTAGATATTTACTAAGCGCCGGCTAGGCTGCAGGTCCCAAGATGGCACTACTCCTGGCCTCACGGACACATAGCAGCCTAGCGGGGAGGCGCTGATATGCAATGCGACAGCCTCGCTGGGGATAGGGAGAATATGGTCTGGCTGGACAGCTGCAAGACCTGTGTGTGTGTGTATGTGTGTGTGTGTGTGTGTGTGTGTGTGTTTTCGTGCACACGTGCAGAGGTGTGCATATGCACATGCATTCATGTGTATGCGTGTGTGGTAAGGGGCAGACCTAGAGAGGGGAAGAGGGCCAGCTCCACCCACCTGTCCCACCAAGCCCATCACCCAGCACCGGTCCGGCACACGTGAGGCAGAGAACCACTGTTCACTACAAGTAAGTGAGCAACGAGCCCCTGAAGGAAAACATCGAGTCACTGCCCGCCTCCCACCCTCAGCAAGCCAGCAGGAGACAGAGAAAGAAAGAAAAGGAAGCCATAGCCCCAGACAGAAATTAAGAAAGCAATTTCATTTACAACACCTTCAAAAAGAATAAATTTACCAAGCAGGTATAAGACTCATACACGGAAAACTACAAAACGCCGCTGACAGAACTTAAAGAAGATCTAAATAAGTGGAAAGACATCTTGTGTTCATGGGCTGGAAGACCTAACACTGTAAAGATGTCTGTTCTCTCCTAATTCATCTACAGATGCACAACTCCTGCCAAAATCCCAATGGCCTTTTTTTTTTCTCTGCAGAAATGGAGAAGCTGATCCTGTAACCCTGGGCGTCCTGTTTCCCTGGGACTCTCTGAGACTCGCCCCCGCGGCTGCTCCGTGGCACACACGGGGGCCTGTGTCTCTTCTCCCACAGGCGCCGGGCGCTGTGAGGGTAGCAACAAGGCCCAAGTTGTGCCCAGACTCCCTGGGGCTCCAGCCACAATTTCTGGGACATCCTTGGCATCCTTGGCTTCCTTGGCTTGCAGACCCCACACCCAATCTGAACAAAAGAAAATCCTATTGTTCCAACTTCATAACAAATCCCAAGTTCTGCCACACCCCCTGCCAGGCCACAGCTACTTTCAGCCTCCTCTGAGAGGCCGGGCTCTCTCACCAGGATCATTGCAACCACCTGCTCCCTCCCAGGCTCCCTGCTTTTGTTCTGACAGACTGGTCTCAACCATTCCCATCACAGCTGCCAAGCAATCCTGTTAAAATCTAGGTCAGGGGCTTCCCTGGTGGCGCAGTGCTTGAGAGTCCGCCTGCCGATGCAGGAGACGCGGGTTCGTGCCCCGTTTC